AGTAACTTGGTAATTGAGCAGCAATTAATTATGATAATATTTGACTAGTTTTGCTTTACAATGATGGAGAAAAATAACATAAACATTGGGTTTAAACAAATAAACGAACCAGGATCAATTCTTGAAACTCCAAAATTTTCATTTGCAAAGTCTATTGGGAGGTAAAATGCAGCAATAAACATTATTCTTTAGACCTCTTTAGGTTAATAGCTCAAAAGATTGCATAGTAATTGCAATCCTGCTAACTGGGTAAAAAATTTAATCTCCACTTTAGGTTTAGTTTAAATTTAGAAGGAGAAAACAGTAATAAAAACTAGAAAAAAGTTGGATCTAATTTCCCTTAAAAGCTAAGGTTTGACAATATTCTCAAAGTTCCCTGTTCACATGAATTGCAGTCTAACTACTCATCAAGATGAAAGAAATAGAAAAGATTGCACAATATATATATATATATATATAGAGAGAGAGAGAGAGAGAGAGAGAGAGGGGGGGGGAGAGAGGTTTTAAGTAAAAAATTCACTACTCAAGGTATTGTTCCTTAAGTTGAAATTAAAACTTACAGACATGACAGGGGTTACATGCCTAAGAACTAAAAATAGAAGTTGAATTCATTCTCTTGTCTGAGTGTCAATAGCTGAAAATCTGTATGCTAATTGGAAAGTATATAAGAACCAAACATGCAAAGAAAATTAAACAAAGGAAAACATGGCAAGAATAAATACGCTAAGTTCACAAAGAAATTCAAGTTAAAGGATCTGAAAGCTACACAAGATGATCTCAACATATCAATGTTCTAAGATGTGAAGCGCAACAAATGTCCATACAGAGTTGGAAAAGAATACACCTCATTTGTTTCTAAGAAAGAAATCTAGATGGGAAGTAATAACCTTCTTACTAATGATGAAAAGTAAGCTAGATGGGAAGTAATAACCTTCTTACTAATGATGAAATTTTAAGGTCTTACTAATGATGAAATTTTAAGGTCATCTCTCATCACAAAACTAATTCAAATGGAAACAGTTCAGGAACGGTTTTTCGCTTCCGTTGTTTTCTGTTTTAAACGTTCTAACTGGTAAGTAGACTGCTTCATTTTACCTTTTATGTTTTTCCCTCACTCCATGTTCTCTCATGCTTGAGGCTCATTAGAGGTGATACATATACAAAATAGGTCCTTTAGTTGAAAAAGTTGCACATAGCAAATATCCAAATAGACAGGAGCTTTGGTATGAGAAAGTTGAACTTAAGGCACTAACATATGAAACTGTAATTTACTATTTATTTGCTGTAATTACATAAGACATAAACAACATAAACTTTGAATATCAAGAGCAACATCTTTATGTTGCATTGGGCATCCAATCAGTACATGACATGAATTTTCTCTCATGAAAAAACTAAATGAGGTTAATCATAAGCAAGCATGAAAAAGATCTTGTACTTCTCTTTTGTAGGTTGAATGAAATATATGGCATCCATGGATGGCAAAGGTTGTCTTCGCCTAAAAATGTCCTCCACCACTGCCAATATCAGAGATAGAATTGATTACTTCTTAACCAAATAGAAGAAAAATATGACAAGAATGCTATAACGGTGGTCAATGATTTATGAAAATGTGCTGATGTTGACAGTACATATGCAGAGGGGCAAAATGCAAAAGCAGAAACTGCATTATAAACCAGTTATTCAGCACCAAACACTTCAACGCTGACAACAAAATTACAAGCAAAAAGAATTGCAAACATTGTATTTCTACTAGATTTCAAAAAATCGTTGACAGATAATTTTACATTAAGCTTAGACTGCTACACATGTTTGACATTAACATAAATCAGAAAATAAGAATCCATGAAAAGGGCAAGTAGAATGAAACATAAACATTGTGATCATTTGCTCACATGAAACTCCTTGATCAGTAATGTCTGCCATTTTGCATGACATAGACATGACCTTGACTGTAACTTTATCCATGATGAGTACCTGCAGCAGACACAAAAATACTTATTTTGACAACACTAAAAATCTAAAGGAAAGGAATAAGAGAAAAAATCTCTATAAGAATATGAAGCACAAGTCTTGGTTGCTTGCAAATGCATTGAATTTGGTTTCACCCACTTTTGCAATAACATAAATTAGCCTATATAAAACTCGATAAATGAGTAGATTTCATGAACATTCTATTCAAAATGCACTTGGCTTTTGTTGGCTATCAGTACTAAGTAGCCTACATATTCTATTTATTGAATAGATTGCATTAAAATACTCCTTAGCAGGTTCCAGACTCCATATCTATGTAACCAAAGATAAAGCTTAAATATTGAGTATCAACAATTGAAAACTTAGATGTCTAAAATCTTATGGTATCATGTAACCAATCCTTTTCTATTTTATTGACAACAGATTTCTTTGGAACATTGTAAGATATTTGTAAATTTTACCTTCCATGATGACCTTGAATCCTCTGATTTGGATGACCGAAGCATCTCATGCAATAGCCCTACAAGTTAGTAGATTCCAGCAAAGAACCGCAAGATTATTCACCATGCCAAATGTTCGTATGCAAAAATTAAAGAGTAGTAAGATATGTTGATTAGTAGAGATGCATGCTTTATCACAAACAACAGTGAGAGAAAGAGAAAAAAAATAATATGATAAATACATCAATGCAAGAGATAAATATGCAGTAGCATTCCATTTTTCATTTTCTTGGGATAGTGGCATTCCATGATGTATGACACTTAAAGTTGATGGGACATATTCACTTTCCTAGCACTTCAGCCTCAAAGCAATATCTTTGTTATCAATCAACTTCAGTCATGTAATATAACAAATATGCACAGATTCAAGGCTAAATAAGACTTGGCATAATCCAAAAAAGTATTTTCCAAGTTTTGAGAGGAAGGAAGGGAGTTGCTGATTTCATCCACTACAATCCTGAAACCAAGAAAACAAAGTCCTTTGTCAGAGAAATGCAGCTGTCCTTCTAAATCCATCACCTAGTTCTTTAAATAAGTCAACTAAGTAATTTCTCCTGCATTAACTGTAGGCACTCAGCAAGTTCACAGAGAACTCAATATTAATTGGCCCCAGGAACAACTACGAACCTTGCAAAACTATAATGTTCTATAACTGCCAAGACCACAGACCAAACACACTCTGCCCTGTGCAGGACAGAGGAGATCCTATAATAGCTGTTTGATTGCAACTGCTGAAACGACTCCTTATCTTTCATTGACATATTGGAGATGGAAATTCTATCTCCCCCTGATAAGAGTGAACCTCAAACATGTAAAATATGTACAGGTAACTTATCATAGTTCAGACCTAGTGCACCTCAAGAATTCCACGCCACCAGTGTTCTCATCATTGGTTATATTATCATACATCCAACAACCTCTTATATTTTCTCCTTCTCTTTTGTCTCTTTTACCAATTTTGTGGAATGTTCTCTCTACTTTTTAATTTGGCATAAAAATTCTGAAGGAAGAGACAATGATTACAGGTATAATTTTGAAGAATGCCTAATTGACTCGAAAGTAGTCTCTCCCTAGTTCCGATAAAGCACAAAGTAAAGGGCAAAAAGAACACCTTCCTATTAATTACTCATGTAATAGTCCAGTAAACAATTCAGCTACATTGTTTCTCCTCCCGTTTCCAAGAGAAACTTAAGTTCATTATATAACTGATTCATGATATTGCCAAATGGTCTCCGTAGAAAAAAGCTGGAAGCTAACAAGAAAGGAATAAACAAAAAAAAATTGCATTTTTTTGGATTGTCTAGATTATTAAGCACGTAAATATGCACACAACTGTACATGATAATCTGTTTCCTTGTCAACATCCAAAAATTCAAAATTTGGAGAGAAATTATCAGACTCTTACAGCACTAGATCAAATCAATTTACTATTTTCAATTAAGTGATCAAATTCATCCACCTGATCAAATCCTGATATGCAAACATTACAACGCTCGGGTATCACGATACCAAGCATACATTTAACTTCACATCAAAAATCTCATCAAAGAATAGGGAGACAGGAAGGAAGGATATTTACGGTCGCGGCTGATTTGGCGGAAATTCTTGTAGTCTCCGCCATGAGAAGAGACGTCCGAGTCCGAAAATGACATGCTTTTTACGACTTCGGAAAGAAGAAGAAGAATGACCCAAAAATAAAAATAAAAAGAAAAACACTCTCAAGCAGCTGTATCAGAAATGCATTGGATTGCAAAACCTAATTTTTCTCTCTATCTCTATCTCTCTGTCTCTGTCTGGATAAATTATAGTTGTTAGAGTGAAAGAAAAGAAGACAGAGAGATAGAGAGAGAGAGGGAGAGGGAAGATGGAAATGGATGAAAATGGAGGTGGCTTTGCGTTTTTGAAGGCGAGAGAGTCTGAAAGGAAGCTGTGATGAGTTCGTTAGACGTTGTAGTTAGTTAGTGGGGACGCATAAATCACTCCCGCCTTTGGTATCTTTTTCATACTGATTTCTTACCCCATTTCTTTATCTTATTTGTGTTTCTCCCCAGAAATCTTCGCTTTTTCACTTCCAAGCCCTTCTAGTGTATAAGAAAAATCAAGTTATGTCCAGGATCCACAGGGCTTCCTTATTATAATAACTTGAAAACAATCCAAAAACATCTACAATAAAAGTTTTTCATATACAAAGCTACAGTAAAGTTTTTAAAAAACACCTCCAAAAACAGCTAATCCAAGCGGAGCCCTTTTACCAAAAAAAGAAAAAAAGAAGTAATGAAGTAGTTTAGCAAAAAATGGTGTTGGCTATTCTTTTATTGATCATTTTGGATTTTTTTGTGTGTGTTGATTTTTGCTGTATAATTTCATATTTTCTGTTTAGGTTATTGGTTTTAAGTTCATTGGTGATGCAGAAAGAAATATAATAATATCATGATTTGGCCTTCTCAAATCAATTGATGGCTATTTAAGTGCAATAAGTGGAAAAAAAAAATTTATATATATAAAGGACTTATAGCTTAATCACAGCTAAATGCTAATTAAGGGAAAGAGCATTACTGGCTCAATCTCATGAATCCCATACCAAATTACCTTTTTCTTATTGTACTCCTATAATTGTTTCAACAAACCAAAACCCAGCTGTAAATTACTCCAATCTCCTTGGACTGATCATATTTTGTTTACTATTGGTGACTAAGCTAATTCTTTATCCCAATTTCTTTTTTTTTAATTAAAAAAAAAGAAGTAACAGCAAATAAGTACGTATTTTATGTCTTAATTACAAAACAAGAAGAAATAGGACAACTTTTTGACTCCGAAGCCAACCATTTTCTCCCCTAGAAAAGTTGTTTTCTTCAACAAATTTGACAGGACAGCTGGGTAAGAGGAACACTTCTGAATTCATTTTCTTCATTGGTTTGAATGTGAGCTTATGAGGATGGTCTTTTCATGGATCCAAATGGCATTCTGGTATTCTAAATAATGCCGCTTAAGCTTGACTAATGAAAAACAAACAAACATATAAGTTTTTAAGTTCGGAAAGATCAAAGTGACAATCATGGCTTATATATGAGTTGGCCTCTATTGCATTATTCCCTGCCTGCCTATCATGTTTCTTTTTTTTTTTTTTTGGGTTGTTGCAGATGTCCTATCTGAACGGAGAAGGTATTTTTTGCAAGTTTCTGTCGCGAGTTTTCCCCCGAATTCGATTTACTAGTAAGCCGGCTAAAACTTTAATTTCATCATTGCATGATGTACTATACTATTAATGTTAGGCCAATAATGCAAGGACATATTACAGAGACTAACGAGTCTGAAACAGAACTTTAAATTTCTAGTCAGAGCTTCTTATTCCTCTTGGAACCATGACTGGCTCACGATTCACAAATCAGTCTTTGCTATATGAAAAGCCCCACGTAAAAACATTTGACCAAGGGTTTAATCCTTTCTCCAACTTTGATTATCCCGAAGAATAAGAGTCTGTATAAGATTACCATTAGAAACAAGACTGCCAGATCAATCCACTTGGAGTAGCCCATCTCAACTTGCCATGTATGTCTCAAAATAGTTTCACCATCAATCAAAGAAGATCCCCCCTTCATCAGCTCATTACTTGGAAATTTCAGCCCTTCAAACTCGTTCTTGTACAGGCCTTGATATGCGTACCTATGGAAGGAAGTGTAGTACATTGGATATTTCCAAAATATACTTGGGAGATCATGTGGTAAACGAAAGAAACCGCCGCTCAACATCATTACACCTTGAGTGCCGGCACCAATGATCAGTCCCATGAGAAAATTTGGTACCAAACTTGCTACGATCATCATAAGGCCTTCAACCAACATAATAGAAGCAAAGAGTACCATAATGAAGTAGAGAAATCTTTCAGTTCCCCGCTGCAGTCCCACCAGATAATAAACAATCACTCCAGGAATAACAGCTATCAGGCATAAGAAGAGAACCGATGAAGCTGTGTTGCTAACAACAAATGCCGCAACCCCATAGTGCCCATTCAATCTTTCTCGTTGGAAGACCTGTATGCAATTAGTTGTCACGAAATTAATCAGGATGATTGCTATATGCTAGAAATCGATCGGAAGTTGAGTGCTCTGCTGACCTTTATTTCCTCCACAAATGATGGGAAACCTCCGATACTCATCAGAGTTAATAATGATGCTACAAACATGAGCATTGAGGCTCTGGCCTAAACAAAATCGTAACGAGCATTTCTAAGTAGAATATTGACGCATGAGGGGAAAAAAAAAATTAGACAAACTGTTAAGTGCATACAAGATTTGGCTTACATTAATGGAGGTGTAACTGTATCCAACGTTGTAGAAGACGGTACCTAAGCCAAAAGCTAAAGTGATGTATATAGCAAGACGTAACCAGTAGTAGCCTAGGTCACGGTGCATATTCACAAATGACCTCTCTGTCAGGACAAGGCACTGAATAAAGAAGCTACCACGTCTCCTCTTCTTCTCCACCATTCCAATTTGCTATAATACATGAATTCAAATTTTGCATCTTAAAGGGGTGTGGGATGGGTAAGGTGGTACGGGAGGAGGGAGTGTCAGTGAGACGTCTCTCTCTCCCACTTATACAAAAAAAAAAAAAAAAAATTGCATTTTAAAGTATAACATATGAAATAATGTACAAAGAGTTGTGTAAACTTTCAAATAATTTTGCTTCCTGCTTATTGCAAAAGAGCCTTACTTGTCCATTTATCTGTGCTACTTCTCTCAGGATCAGGTCATACGTATCAGATGATGTGTAAGATTCGACAAGCTTATCGATCACCTCCTTTGTGGTTGTCTTTCCATCAGCAGCTGATTCAATGTCCTAAACACGGTTGCGATGTTTACTGAAATAATAAGCTTGACATACAAAATACTAAAGAGTACTGCATAACTTAGAAAAGGGCTATTATTTACCTCATCGAAATCTGTGTTTATCATTCTCAGATAGTGATCTACTGGATTTTGTAGACCGGGGCTCGAAAAACCATTCCTTGCAAAAAACTAAATCGAACAAAATTAGTCATCAGTGATAACTGTATTCTCTCGAATCAATGCAACCAACAACCAGTGTCCGCCATTAATCATACTCACCTGATTTACTGCAATGGAAGATCCAAAATATATGGTCCTACCCAAGGAAAGGAGACAAAGGTTGTCAAGTAGCTTGCAGACTTCTGTACTAGGCTGATGCATTGATGCTACCACTGTCATCCCATATTCCTTGGCAAGTTCCGCAATTCGATTCATGACATAGTATGAAGCAGCGCTATCTAGTCCACTTGTAGGCTCATCCAGAAAAAGAAGCTTCGGTCGCGTTAAAATTTCAATGCAAATGCTTACTCTCTTTTGCTGCCCACCGCTGAGACCTTTGCTTCCCCAGCCTCCAATTCTGGTGTCAATGCAGCTCTGCAATCCCATTTCTCTGATCGTCCTATCTGCTCTGTCTATTTTCTCTGCCTTTGACATAGTGTTGGGCAGCTGGAGCTGAGCAGAGTAGTATACAGCTTCTCTTGTGGTTAAAGTCCATGTCAAGATGTTGTCTTGAGTCACATAGGCCTTGAAAAAAGAATATATTGGGCTATAAATTTGGAGATCCCTTTTCTTTTTTTGTTTTTCAAACAGATTCACAAAACTGTTACTAAATTTCTTTATATTTCCATTATCATCATGGTTCGCCATCACAGGTCGCGATCGCATCGCGGTTTCGATTGTTCCACATCCGTCGCAGCATATCGGTTGAATATCAGGTGATACGCATATTATAGCACATGAAAATTTTCAAAAATTTTGAAAAAATTACTAAAATTAGAAAATATCAAAAAAAGCTCAATTTTAAAAAATATCCGAGTCGACTTGGATATATTGGCCGATATCATGCATCACGGATTCGAATCGGCCAATATTAGCCGAGTCAGAGCGAGTTATCATGAATATGATAATATCCGCGATTTGAAAATCGGTATCGTATCGATCTCCCCTGTTCTGGTTACAATTCGGCCGATACGTATCGGTATCGGCCAATATTGCGAACCATGATTATCATCATGTCTTCCAAAATCTGAAGTGAGTGATTCAGTACTTTACGTGTTAGATAAGTGCCGTAGTGAAATAAATCATAGTTATTATACTTTTTCGTTATGTTCATATGCCGAGTTGTTAACGCAAGAACGCATGTCTAAGACAACAAAATCGACCAATCTGACGGGTCACAGGAAGGTATTTCAGACTTCAGCACGTATAATCTGTTAACTGGTGTTGGTTAGAGTTTTTCTCATCATGCATCATTCCTGGACGCATTTGCTGCCGTGTTGAAAACATAGCGAAGGGTAGGTGTTGGTCATACCGATGTTCCATAAGCTAGCTGTTCCATTCGGCCGTTAACTAAAATTTCCCCCATCTGCTTTGATTTTGAATCAAGCCTACCTGAAATAAGCATACCAGTATACAGGAGTGGAAAGAACTTAACTAGGGTTTTATGCCACAAAATCCTCTAATATATTAGTTAAGCGTTAAAGTAAATGTAAAAGGTCTTTGACGCCTTGCAGCTGGTATTAAGATAAGCTGAGAATGCGTAATGATCCAAAAGAACATGAAAGGTGAGTGTAAAATTATAGTTGTCCAAGTGCATAAAAGAGATGGCTTCCAACACAGTTTTATTATTAAAAATGTTCTTTTCAACATATATAGAATAACAGCCGAAGGCCTCTTTGGTCGGCTTCGTTTTGGTCGTCCTCTCACGTGCGTTGTGCGTGGTTTGTGGTAGATGCAACGACGTCGTAGAATTTGATATCTTTTTTGCCCACTTTGACCGGTACAGTTTAGTTTCGTCGTCTTGTTGCATGACACTCGCCGCTGCTGTGCATCAGAAAAAAATAGGCTGTCTCCCTTGGCCGCTTCTCCAGCTAGCCTTCGTGTACCTAACGGCCATAAATAATATCGGTTGTACTTTTACTTTTACTCTTCGGCCTTTTTCAGCCTTTCAGCTCGAGCATTAATGGGTTTGAGCCCTGCTTCTTGCCCTCCAAACATTATTCGCTTTGGTGCTACTTTTCCAGCTACTTTTTTCCCCCTCAGTTCAACATTAGCTCCGTTCGTAGTTAGTTCTGCTTACCTGTGTTGGATCTCAGAGATTCATCCCCCGGCACTGCATTTTTTCCGGCTATCTGCTCTGTTTTCCTCCATTTCTTCCCCGGTATTCTCTTTTCCCCCTAGAATGCTTGTTTATGATTTTTTTTTAAAATATCTTTTTCCACCGGGATTTAGTCAAGCAAATGTGTAGTCTTGTTTTTCTAATTACCTGAATACAGTTGGTTCTGCTTCTGAGAGATTCATCCCTCGGTGCTGAAGCTTTTCATCTTGCTGCTCTGTTTTTCTCCATTTTTTGCCTATTCTTCTTTTTCTTCCCTCGGAGGCTTTGCTAGGCTCGGAACTAGCTTCTTCATTGACTCTGTGTTTTCTACATTTTGGGCCAGATGCTTTTTTCTTTTGCACTGCCTTTTACGCTTGTTTTGTGTTTTGCTTGGGTATTTTTCCCCTTGTTCTTGGTTCTGTCTTCGTTGTTCTTTTAAATTTTTTCCCCGGTGACTTGTTCTTTTGTTACATTTATCTTCTTCCGGGCTTGTTTTTTTGTTTGTTTCTATCAGATGTTCCTCCTATTTCATTTGTTATATACCTTTTTTGTTTGCTTTTAGCCCTATTGATTGATTAATAGAGTGCTTTTTCTTAATATCTTTTTCCACCGGGGTTTAGTCAAGCAAAGCTTTTCATCTAGCTGCTCTGTTTTTTTCCATTTTTTCCCTGTTCTTCTTTTTCTTCCCCCAGAGGTTTTGCTAGGCTCGGAACTAGCTTTTTCATTGACTCTGTGTTTTCTACATTTTGGGCCAGATCCTTTTTTCTTTTGCATTGCCTTTTACGCTTTTTTTGTGTTTTGCTGGGGTATTTTCCCCCTTGTTCTTGATTCTTAGATTTTCCCCTTTTCCCGTTCTTTTTCCCCTTTGCTATTTGTTGTAGTGCCTGGCTGTTGTGCTTTTTCCTTCTTTCCCTCCAGTTCTCTCTTCGTTGGTCTTTTAAATTTTTCCCCAGGTTAATTGTTCTTTTGTTGCATTTATCTTCTTCCGGGCTTGTGTTTTTGTTTGTTTCTATCAGATTTCCTTCCTGTTTCAGGTGTTATGTAACTTTTTGTTTGCTTTTAGCCCTATTGATTGAGTAATAGAGTGCTTTTCCTTATTCTTTGGTCTCTTTTTTTTTTTAAAAAAAAGTGTGAGTTAGAGTAAAAAAAAAAACAAGCGAAAAAAATGACTGATTGAAAGGTTGGAGCTCTTGTTGCCTATTTGTGTTTTTTTCCCCATAAAGCTCCTCCTGATTGAGGTTGTCGAATCTTGGAAATTAATTAGCATTCAAAATCTGCCTGGATATGCCTGTTACTGTTAATATGTGTCAGTTATATAAACAGTTATACAAGGCCTGGATAAATGAATCATTAATGCACTGTATATATGTATGTATGTATCTGTGTGGTGGGAGAAAATTATCTAAAAATGTTGAGGTGAAAAGCAATTCAGTTCATCATCACCTAGGCTAGGCAAGGCCACCCTGTTATATTTCTTTGAACTGCAGGTTTTAACCTGCCATTATATTTGGTGACCTGCTCTTCTGTTTGTCTTTTAGTTCTATTTTTATTAGCTCGTATTTTGCTTGAATATCTGCATTCATGTAATCGTTAGTTCTACTTTTTTGTGGCTCCTTGTTTGGCTGATTTTTTGTATTTATGCTATCGTTTTGCTTTCCCCTTTTTTCTGTGTTTTTTTTTCATTGGGCCTGATTAACGTCTTTCTTTGCCTGATTTTTTGTATTTATGCTATCGTTTTGATTTCCTCTTTTTCCCGTGTTTTTTTTTCATTTGGGCCTGATTAGCGTTTTTCTTTAGACTATGTGGTCTGAACATGCTGATGGAATGTTGCGTTTGCCTGAGGTTAATGCTTGTCTGGTTCGTTGGACATCTCAAGTTCAGCTTATTGAGGCATCGCACGTGAAGACAACTTGTGGCAGTGAGCTAACAAAGAAGTTCCGATACTTTGTTTTTTCTGATTTCCAGGTGCAGTTTTGCGCTGTTTCTCGTTTAATTTTTTTTGGTTCTTTTGCTGATTGTGGATTTGTTTATTTTAGGGTGTTAAGGTGACTGCACTTACGATTGATGAGAATATTGATCGTGTTAGTGATGTACTTGTGCCATTTAAGAAGTATCGCGTTTCAAAAGCCCGTGTTTATGAGATACCTGACTCTTCTTTGAGTGTTGGTTCTTATCGCTTTTATTGGGTTTTAACTAATGACACTGTAATTGATGAATTAATCGAAATTGACCCTCCAAAACTCCCATGCTATTTTCGCCTACGCTCTATTGCTTCGTGTGACGCTGTTGCCGACACAGAAAACTTCATAGGTAGCTCTATATTTTGTTGGTTGTTTTTCCCCTTGTTCTTGAATTCCTTGTGCCTATACATTTGTTTTTCTCTAATTTTTTTTTTGTGGCTTCACAGATATCATGGGAATTGTTTTGTGTGCCTTTCCTGCTAGAGAGGTATATTTTGAAGGAGGCCCATCTGTCGCACGTGACTATGTTATTGTTAACTATGAGTAGGTGTTTGCTTTTCTTCCCCCTCTGTTTATTGAGTTTATCTTTTGTATTTGGGTTGCTAATGAGTATTTTTTATATGTTCCTCTGTGTTAAGGCTTAGGCCTGTTATTTTAACTCTTTGGAATGAGTTCGAAGCCATAGAAGGGGCTGACATAATGGCTAATATTGCACAGAATCCGGTTTTGATATGTATCCGTCTTAGGGTGACTACCGATAACTGTAAGCTTCTATATGTTATAAATATCTTTTCATCTTTTATCCATACTATTTTTAAAATTTACCATTTGGTTTTGCCTGAGCATTGTTCTCTGGGTCACTCAATCCTTTTTCCAGATTTATCGTTATCTACTCAGTCTTCGTCTGTGATATTGGTTTCCCCAATTGTGCAAGAAGCTGGGAACCTCCGGGCATGGTCTGCTGTTTTGTTCCTTCTTTTTTTTTTGCCAGTTCGTTGTTCTCTGTTTATTTTTTTATTTTTTTTTGCTATTACTTTGCTTTATCAAATTACTGTAATCTGTTTAGGTTTCAAGCTAATAAATCAGACCTCACGCAAATGGTCCACGAGAGGAGTTATGCTAATTCATGTGTATTGGTCCCACCAGTTGCTTCTAGCCGTATAAGTCAGATCTCATTCATTGCACAGGCGACGAAGTTTGTGAGTTTGCTATTACATTCTTGCTGGAATCATAGTCTTTCTCTATAAATGTTTTCATATCCACCTTGAGTATCCCATAACTTTTCCTCCCTTGCTTTGTATGTTACCCACCACAGGACATAGGAACTGCATGGATAAGAGGCACGGTTTCTCTTGAGTATAGAAAGGGTAGACTATGGTATCTAGCCTGTCCACATTGCTATCTTCCTAATGATTTTTCTTTGAACTGGGGTATCATGTGCCGCTATTGCAGCCGAGACATTTATACTTTCCCTAGGTATGGTGTTCTTATGGTAGTCTCTTTTATATTTTTTTATTTGTTCCTGTTTTTTATTTTATTTTGCTGTTTTTGAGTCCTCTTTTGTTAGATGAATTGCTTATTCGTTTGTGCTATAAGGGCTTGTGTGACTCTTGCTATCAAGGATGGCACTGGTTCACTGAATGTAATAGCCATGGGAGATGAGGCCGAGAAGTTAATAGGTATCAATTCTCACCGTTTATATCAGGCTGATAAGGAGGTACTGCTATTTCCCTGTTGTGCATATGCTTCTAAAGTGTAATGTTGTTTGCTGATTTTTTGGCTATGAGAATAAGTCATGGCTTTCACTTTGTCGCCAGGATGTGCATCTTACTGATCGTGTGGCGAGTGCACTTAACGGAAGAGTAATGTTGTTTTATCTTAAGCATTCGGACCATGCTTTTAGGGTTACAAAGGGTGCTCGCTATACAATCGTCGCTTCCTATGACGTGAATGATGCTGAAGCACAAGCTGCCTAATTCTTTTTAGCTTTTAGTGTAAACTTCTCTTGTTTGTTTTTTTTGGATGTATAGCTTATATCTTATGCTATATCGAGCTCTCTTTGGCTGTTACAGTTAGGCCAAGTCATGGTGGATTTGTTGTGTCGTTGGTTGTTTGTTTTGTTGATGGTTAGGCATTCTGTACATTTGGATCTTAGCCCATGCTATTTTCTCATGGCCTGGCTGTTGTTTAGACTATGTTTTTTGTTTGATTTCTGTTTTGTTATTGAACAATTTGGATCTATTTAAATAAAAAAAATATGTGTTATCAGGCACCATGCAGTATTTTCCTTTTGTATCTTGCTGTCCTTTGTGAATTTCGATCCCCGAGCAATTTATTTGTTCCAAGAAAAAACTGTCGAAGCAAATAAGATTCTGAGCTATACACTACTTAATGTTTCCCTGGTGAGGCAATTCGGAAGCGCAAACTACTAAGCTATGATATATTAGCTTGTTAACAGTCTTCACGAAGCTAAACTGATTGCTTTACTTTTGTTGATTAAAAAAAAAATCAAAGAGGTCAAGCACAGTCCTTTTTCCATAAACTGCCTCCTGAAAAGAAACTATTGTACTGCACAAGATGAACTAGCTAAAAAAGCTTTGCGGAAATAATCTGCTCATCTTAATTTCATAAAAAAACCATTTTAAAAAGGTCAAAAAACCTTTGACCATGTAAAAGTTTGTTTGCCTTGCAAGAAATGTCCGACTATGTATCAAGCAAAAAAAACAAAAGGAACCAAAGCTTATTGCCCATCTTATGTACGTTCTGTATCCTGAATCTTTGGCAGTTAGGCAGCTTTTTCAGTAAAGCATTCTGCTCTTTACTGAATGCTGCATCTATGTCCCCTTCTTTCAAAGTAACTAAGTCATTTAATAGCCTAGAACATGGACTTCAGTTAGTACTTGCCTGCTGATGCTGTTGTTTTATTGTTTGCCTCTGATGTGGTCCGGAAGACAATGTTAGACTATCAACAGCTCTTTTAAACTTTCTTTTTCTTATCTAGCTCATACGTTGGAGTTAGGTGTGAAAGCTAGAATCCTCCAGATTCATCTCTTTTCTTTTGCCTCAGGAATATACTTATCTTCTCTATAATACTGGTATGTCCCTATTCATTTTCTATTGCATATGAATGAAAATATCTCTGCTGCTACTGGTAGTTACCTGCTGATGCTAACTAGAGTCTTGCACATTCATCTCTTTTCTTTTGCCTCAGGGATATATTTATCCTCCCTAGGATACTGGTATGCCTCTCTTCATTCTCTATTGAAAATATGCATGAACATATCTCTGGTATATGCATGAACATATTGGAGCTGTTGCACGTACTCTGTTTCCTGTTTTACCTGTTCCGTGTGTTTCCATATTTTCCTTAGGTTGCTCTATGGCCTGCTACTCTAACAATGAGCCCCTAATCTTTGTTCTTTCATTGTGTTGCATACCTACCTCTACATGCGTTGTTCTTTTTTGAGTTTTTTTACACACCATAGCTGAGGTTTTTTTTCCCCCCCTAAGCCATTGTATTGTTAAGCAATCTATTTGTTGGTTATGAGAGCTGGCATAAAAAGCCTTTTTCTTAGGTCATTATGAATGAAAATATTTCTGCTATTACTGTTTTTGTTTTTTTACCGTTTTTGTTAAGACTTTTTCTTTTTTTTTTTACTAAGCCATTGAATAGTTAATTAGTCTATTTCCTTGTTTTACTTGGCCATAATAATGTTCCTAATGTGTGTGTATATTTCTAGGCATGAAGTTACTCACTTTCCAGCTTCTGTTTTTCTGTTCTCACTAGCCTTCTCTTCTCTTTTTCCCCCGTCAGAGAGCTCCTGATAGCTCAAGTATTCTTGAGGCTCTACTGTGACTTGCCTTTTATCATTCTCTGGCTCTTTTTCGATCCCTTGAAGGCCTTCAGGTATTGTTCAGTAGAAATGTGCTTACTTACCTTATTCTGCATATGCTTTTTTCTGACTAGGTTCATTAGTTCATTCCTCTCTTTCCATGCCTTAGGCTCAACTGATGGTGTGTTATTCTGAGTGTTACCTGTCCAGTTGCCTTTTTACTTGTTCTGTTTAGGTGGAGATGTTTCTGTTTGTGCATTTATATGCTTATGTTTATGCATTTACTTGCTAGATGTTCGGCTCAAAATAGCTAGCTGTTTATCTTTTATCTTAATATATGCAATGTTGCAGCGTGTTTCTCTCATAAACTCAAAAAATAGCTACCCTCTGATCTTTTGCCTCGCTGTATGAAATACTATAGTAAGTTTCTACATGGACCGCAATACCGTTAGACGTATACATTATGCTAATATGCCAAAAGAGAAAAAGGATGAGTTATTGCAGCGAAGACGGGAGCGGTATGCTAGGAAAAAGGCAGGTAACATGCATATTGCTGAGCAATCTAGCTATTCAGCTATGCCAGAAGAGCAAAAAAATAAAATTCGCCAGCACAGGAGGGAGTTATATGCTGCGAAAAAAACAGAGCACGTTGCTCCACCCACGGCTTCTACTCCTGTGTGCAATGTCCCCAGAGTTAAACATTGTCAGAAAAACTATAGGGCCTTTGCCAAGAAGCCTCCCCCAGAGCAAATTCTGAATGCTTCTGCACCTGAGACGTGCAGCTCTGCACCAAACCCTATTCCTGACAATAATGAATTAGCTGATTTGTTTGATAGCATATCCACAAAACTCCAGTCATCATCATCTGCTTTGCCTTCATCTGCTTTGCCCTCTTCTTTAGCTACTACTCCTGGGCAGTCTTGTGTGCCTGAAGGTGCGATACTCAGTTTAAACTCTGTTTCTTAACAAACGTTTGCTTATTTATCTGAATGGCTCTTTTATAAATGTTTTCAGTTCTTATGAGTTTTTCTTATGAACTTGCTGTGCCAGCGTATACTGACTCCCTGGTTGGAGAAGGAACTTGTATCATCAATGTTGAACCATCTGATTCCTCTAAACAAAACGGCATCCAACAGATTCTTGTTAGCACACAACTCCAAAATAACGGTTAGTTTTAGTATATATTTTACTTTAACTGTGCCTTCAAGTGCTACAGGTCACATTATTTTTCCTTCCCCCCCCCTTGAATTTGATTAGTATATGGTTTTGTGTGTTGTTAGGTAAGCGACAAAGGACCAAAAAAGGCAGTTTTTCTCGCTTGAAACAGATTCCAACTGAAACATTGGTCCTCCCTGATGCGCCAATGTGTCAACACTGCAGTGCTAAGCGATTCCATTTGGAACCTTCGAATTTTTGCTGTTCAGGTGGTGAGGTTTCGGTTGTTCATCCTGTGATGCCTTACGACCTCTTCCGGCTCTATTCTGGTACAGATGAGGACTGCGTTCATTTCCGGAAGAATGTCCGCACATACAATAATAATCTTGCCTTTAGCACTTTTGCTGCAAAATATGATAAGGATCTGACCAAGAATACTAAGGGAGTTTACACTTTTCGTGTACAAGGCCAAATTTATCACCTTCTGAATAGTCTGAAGCCAAATGGCCATCCTCCTACTGGTATCCAGCTATACTTCTATGATCAAGAGGAGGAACTGTCGAAGAGACTTGATGCTTCTCCAAGATTACGTGACAGCACTCTTAAACTCCTAATGGGTATTCTTGAACAGAATCCTTATACCAAGGTTTTCAAGTCGCTAAGAGAACTTCCTAATCTGGATGACCATAGTATATTTCTTAATTCCAATCCAGGGCTTGATCAGCGTTTATATAACATGCCAACGTCTTCAGAAGTTGCTGCAATATGGGCAGAGACTGACAATGAAGCCTTAGACAAGGGCGCCCACATACAAGTTTATACTCATGCAAATACAAGCCATAGAATTCAGCACTATTTTGCGTGCTACGATTCTCTGCAATATCCGCTATTGTTTCCTCGAGGTGAAGCTGGCTGGCACTATGGTATTCCAAGAAACACCACTACTGATAAAAGAAAGAGGAAGGAAACTGATGATGGTGGTCTTGTTGATGCCGCTCAAATAGGAACAGCTATTGGTCTTATTCAAAGGGAAAATGAAGGTATCTTTATTTCTGAAGATCATTCTTCGTTTGCTGTCCTACATTCAGTTTTCCCCTCAAGGGAAGAATTTTACTTAATTCTGCTTATTTTTTTTATTGCCATTTTTGCTGCCTGTTATTTACTCTTTTATGTTTGTCCTCATGTCTTGTTTAAAAGTCTTTTAAACTTGTCCTACCAATATATAATTTCTTCAATGGTTAATTGGTTTTTAAAAATATTAAATTTCTTATCTTTTGTTTTTCATTTTTTAGCTGCTGAGGAGGGAAAAAAGAAACGTGACACTGTTTCTGCTCGAGAATATTATTGCTACAAATTGCAGATTAGAGACAATGATAGGTCAATGCTCTTGCACACAGGGAGACTCTTGCAGCAGTTCGCCGTTGATATTTATGTTAAGATAGAGACCTCTAGGCTTGAATTCCATAGGAAAAAACAAAAAGAAATTAGAACTGAAATTCTTAAAGGTGTAACAGATAGCATCTCTTCTGGTCAGACCGAAGGTAGTAAGGTTGGCCGAAGAGTTTACCTTCCATCTTCCTTTATTGGTGGTCCAAGGGACATGAGACGGAGGTATATAGATGCTATGTCTTTGGTCCAGAGGTACGGTAAACCTGACATATTCATTACCATGACTTGTAATAGGATGTGGAAGGAAATACAGGACAACCTCAAATACGGAGAAGAAGCTCAGGATAGACCTGATTTAGTTTCAAGAGTGTTTAGAGCAAAGTTGGAATTATTAAAGGCTGAAATCACAAAAAAGAAAATATTTGGTGAAGTTGCTGCTTGTGTGTATGTGATTGAGTTTCAAAAGAGAGGACTTCCTCATGCTCATATGTTGATCATTTTGAAACCAGAATATAAGCCCCTCAATCCTGAAGCTTATGACATGATAGTTTCGGCTGAAATACCTGATCCTGCGAAGCAACCTCATTTGCACTTTCTGGTTATGAAACACATGTTGCATGGTCCATGTGGTTCGTTAAAAAAAGATAATGTTTGTATGAAAGATGGAGTGTGCAAGAACCATTATCCAAAGAGCTTCACTGACTACACAACTTATACAGAGGATGGTTATCCTCATTATAGGAGAAGGATGGATGGTCGCTGTGTAAGAGTAAGGGATCATTTGTTAGATAACAGATGGGTTGTTCCATATAATCCATACCTTCTAGCATTGTTTGACTGCCACTTGAATGTGGAAATCTGTTCCACTGTTAAGTTAGTTAAGTATCTGTACAAATATGTTTATAAAGGACATGATCGTGTGAGCTTTTATATCCACTCTGACAAAACCTTTGAAGATGTTGATGAGATTTCCGACTTCCAGTCTGGGCGATGGGTCGTTGCTGCAGAAGCTTTTTGGCGCATATTTCGGTTTGGTTTAAATGAAATGACCCCGAGCGTCTACGCATTACAGGTCCATCTGCCTGGAGAGCAAATGGTTTCTTTTCACAGAAAAACTAATCTTGCTGATTTGGTTGCTGATGTTGACTTCTCAAAGACAATGCTGACTGAGTTCTTTTATATGAATCAAACAAATAAGTATGCTCAGGAGCTCAAGCTGCTTTACAAACAATTTCCTGAGTTTTTTGTATGGAAGCCAGCCAAGAAGCGTTGGTCTCAAAGAAAACGGCGAAAAGTTGTTGGCCGATTGGTGACTGTTAGCCCAGCAGAAGGAGAAAGATATTTCTTGAGGTTGCTTTTGTCTTGTGTCTGTGCACCTGCTTCATTTGACCACTTGTTGACTGTAAATGGCATACGTATGAATTCCTACAGAGAAGCTGCTTTCCAAATGGGATTGTTACAATCAGATACGTATATCGAAGACACCCTTGATGAGGCTGCTACTTTCCAGATGCCTTCTTCGCTCAGAAGCTTATTTGCTGTGATGCTAGCTTTCTGCTCCCCATCAAACCCCAAACACCTGTGGGAAAAGTATGAAACTGAACTATCAAGGGATTATCAAAAACATAGTTCACTCACTGGATATTCTTCTGAATACATCAGAATGTTGGTTCTTCAGGAGCTCAGCAAATTTTTGGAACAAATGGGTAAAAGTGTAAATGATTTTCACTTGGTTTCTGATTATCTTGGTGTTACATTGGATCAGCGGATTACAAAGGAAATTGAAGCTGAGAGAAGTGTTCAGTTCGCAGAGGAGGATTTGCTAATGTCTTCAAAATTTAATGCAGGTCAGAAATGTGCCTATGACTCTATCATGGCACAAGTTTTCTCGACCAAAGCCCAAAGTTTTTTCATCGACGGCCCTGGTGGAACGGGGAAAACTTTTCTTTATCGATCACTCCTTGCTACACTGCGTTCTCAAGGCTATATAGCCATTGCTGTAGCATCGTCCGGTGTTGCTGCCTCCATTCTTCCTGGTGGGAGGACTGCGCATTCGCGCTTTAAGATCCCTCTTGACATATCTAAAACTAAGGCTTGCCAAGTTAGTAAGCAAAGCTCTATTGCTAAGTTGCTTATAGAGGCCAAACTTATATTGTGGGATGAAGCTTCAATGGCTAAGAAGGAAACAATCGAAGCATTTGATATGCTTCTTAGAGATATAATGGAAAGCGATGATCCTTTTGGTGGCAAGGTAGTGGTTTTCGGAGGTGATTTCCGGCAGACCCTACCTGTGATTCGAGATGCAACTAGAGATGTTTTGGTTCAGTCAAGTTTTGTTAACTCCCCTCTCTGGAGTGCTTTGCAGAAAATTACTTTAACTGAAAATATGAGGGCTGTTATGGATCGTGCTTTCTCTGAATTCTTGCTACGGATAGGCGAGGGCCGTGAACCAGAAGACAAAGACGGCAAAATATCTTTATGTAAGGATATGATCATCCCTTATGATGGAAAGGAAGCTTCTCTTAACAGGTGACTATATTTCTTCTGTATAGTGTTACTATATCATTTATTTATGTGATAGGTTACTTTTAGTTGACCCTCGGTATTTTGTTCTGACTTTGTGTTTTAATCACCAGGTTAATAGAATCTGTTTTTGGTGATCTAAACATCTATGCTTCAGATCCATATCAGATGATTAATCGGTGTATTCTATCACCAACAAACAATGCTGTTGATGATGTTAACCAGATCATTATTGATAGGTTTCCTAAAGATCCGCATGTTTATATAAGTTCTGATAGAACTTTAAATGAGAAAGATCAAGGCGACTATGAAGACTTTCTCAATTCTTTAAGTCCAAAGGGGTTACCCCCTCATAAGCTGATCTTAAAGGAGAACTGTCCAGTTATTCTTCTCAGAAACTTAAACCCAATGGAAGGCCTTTGTAATGGCACCAGGCTTATATGCCGAGAGCTCCGGCACAACACTATTTGTGCAGAGATTGCAGTGGGTCAGTACTGCGGTAAAAAAGTCTTCTTGCCAAAGATTCCTCTCCAAACTTCCGACGGCGAAAAGAATGGCATACCCTTTAAAAGAACTCAGTTTCCTATCAAATTGTGTTTTGCCATGACGATAAACAAGTCTCAAGGACAGACTTTGGATGATGTAGGGATTTACTTGCGTGAACCTGTTTTTTCTCATGGCCAGCTATACGTTGCCCTTTCCCGTGCAAAAAGTTCATCTGCAGTTAAAGTCCTAATAGTGCCAGCAACATATCGTGACACAGTCACTGAATGCAAAACTAGAAATGTGGTCTTTGATGAAGTTCTTACGTTAGCTAAGCAGTAGCTTTTATTTCTGGTTTGTTTTTCCCATTTGTCAATTTACTCCCTTAAATGCTCTATTTTTGGATTGTACTTTCCTCATCATTTAAATAGTTAAGTTTTGTATGCAACTGTTCTTTGACCTTGAAGTAAATCTTAATTTGCAATGTGGGATTTTATTAATCAGCAGTATAGTGGATTGTCCTGCTTTGTTTTAAGCATAAAAAAGTTGTATCTTTAAGCATTTGATTGTAATGTTTTCTTAGCTAATAGGAGGAGTTGTTGCTGTAGTTAAGAATGCCAGTTCAAAGGAAACCCGAGGCAATTGTCCCAATACTACAGGTTCATCAGTTATACTTACTTAAAACTTTTCTTTTTTAGTAGAATGGTGAATCTGCTCTGCATTGCTGATATCAGACCAAGAATGAGAGGATGGTCAGCCCACGTTACTGTTCAGGAAAAGATGCACGTTGCTTCTTCACAAAAGTCTCCCACAAGATACCAGAAATTTGTTTTTGCTGATGAACAGGTATGAACCACACTTTGTGATGAATTGATTGGTCTATATTTTTGCTTAACTAAAATAGTATACAGAGTTAACATATTCTTTTGAATGTAATACCAGGGATCCAGAGTTGAGGGAATTATGTTTAATGCTGCTATTGAAAAGATGGGAACAAAACTCCATGTTTTTAAGAAGTATCTGATATCAAATGCTGATGTCAGAGAAATTGAGGAGCGGTATCAAACTAATGGCCTTACGATGCAGTGGGTGATAAGCACACAAACTGTTGTTGAGGAGCTTAATGAACAGGGGAGCATTGTTTTGCCGTCCGAGTTCGCTCCTATAAGCTTTAAAGACTTAGCCAGTTATGCTGATTCAAAGTCTCAAACTGTTGGTCAGTATGCGTTCTGCTTCTGATCAGTTCTTTTGTAGTCAATCCCAGAACTTTGATTGAAAACCTAACTAATTACTTCTTTACATCGTTTATCAGATATTATGGCCGTAGTTGTTGACGCAATGCCTGTTGTTCCAATTAAAAATGATTCGCAGGAGTCATTTGTCCAGAGATTTCTTATTGTGAATGAAGAGTATATCATTTTGTCTTTGCTTCAGAATCTTTCAGTCTCAATACAAAATTGTTTATGAGTCTTATCTAAAAAAATATTCTTCCTGTTGCTTTACATGTTAGGATGGTCCCTACTGTGCTATCTTTGTGGAATGCATTTGTCGAGAATGAAGGGAAGCTACTTACAGACCACCGCAACAGGCATCCAGTTGTTATATGCCGTAGACTTAAAGTTGTCACGTACAATGGTATATAGAATCTTTGATCCGTTTTGTTCATGCTCAGATAGTATTGTTTTACTAATTAAACTCACCTTGTTGTAATTGTTCTAACAGGAATAGCACTGTCAACAAGAAATGACTCAGTAATTGTTGTTGATCCACCTGTTGGAGATGCTAGAAGCCTAAAAAATTGGTAATCATTAGCGTAAAAAAAAAGTACATTTACGTTTTCGATTCCACTGATTATTTATCTGCTCTGCTCTCTGTTATTATATATGCATAGGGCATCAAGGAATGACAAGGAATTACTTGCTCTCCGCCGTGATAAGCCGTATAGTAACCAATCTCCTAAAATGTTCTACGGCCCTCAACAAAAACTAACTGCTATACGAGATGTTTTGCCAACTGAAAAGGTGAGCTGCAGTTGTCTTTTATTGAGTAACTTTCCATTTCATTCTACCGCCTGCTATAAATCAGATAACACTATTCTTATCCTCAAAGGTTTCGTGGGTCAAGTGCATGTTCTCTTTTGAACACATACTGCAAAAGTATTGGTATATGGCATGTGTAAAGTGCCGTCGCATAACTTCAGCTGACTATGGATGCACTTATACTTGCAACCATTGCAATGAAAAGCAATCTGCTCAGCCAAGGAAAGATATTTACAGCAGTTTCTGAATTTCTCCAACCCTGCTGAATGTCTTGCATAAATATTTATCTTTTTTTCACATGTAACTATTGCAGATGCCGCTTTGATATTGACCTTACTGATGAAACTGACACGCTTACAGCATCAGTTTTTGGTGAACAAGCCGAGGCATTGCTTGGATTTACTGCTTTACAAGCAATAGATTCCTTCAACAAGGTTTAAATGAGCAGTTTTTTTCCCTTGTTTAATTTCAGGCCTTATATACGTAAAAAATAGACAATATATGTATATCAGACCATGCCATATCTTTGCTCTAATTCCTGCAGTTTGTTTCCTCCTTAATAGAATGAAGACCTGCCTTTAGCTAGGACCCATGAAGCCTTGAAGAATAAAATGTTCATAGTACAACTTAAACCAGGAAGCACAAGAAATGATGGATCATATCAGAACTACACTGTTGTATATTATTTTGAAGAAAATGCTGAGACTGCCTCTGCTGAGAATCAGATGCATGTTGGTTCGAAATCTGGGACTGGTGCGCTTCTTGAAGCTCTAAGTTTTTTGATGTAAATGTGATGCTTTTGCTATAGCTGTTTCCATGTATGTAATAACTAATTTCACTGGCCTTATATTTTCCTTTTGCAGACAAGGAGAGCTACCTTCAGAATAGTAATGATCAGGCTACTTCTTCTGTTGCTTTACCTCCAGGTATGTAGTTTGAACTCTTGTTCATACTAGCTTTCTTAAAATATTATTTTGACTGTCAAATTATTATTTTTTTTCAGAGAAAGAAGAATTGCCATCTAAAACACGCCGCTGTCTTCGAAGTAGTTTTGATGAATCTGAGGAAGCCACTTCAAAGAAGCAGCGCAACAAATAGTTGTCAGATGGCAATAGTTGCTAAGCAAGTCACTGTTTGCTCATGAAGCTACTTATGTTATTAATCTCATCGTCCTAAGCACTTTTAACAATCTTTTACAAGCTGCTAGCTTTTGTTGCCAAGCTATAGAAGTTTCGTTACCTTTTCTTTTCTCAATACATTCTGGATGGCCGTAAACTATTTATTGTTTCCAAGATTTTGTGCAACCAGGGTAAAACTACAGTTGCCTTTTACTCCATTGCAGTGTAGCAGCGCAGATGTCCATTAATTTCATCAGGAACGTGCTTGGTTCTTTCCTACCTTGATAGATATAACCATTTGCGCAATTAATGTTTCTCTACTCTTGGAGTTTCCAGCTTTGTTCTGTTTGGTTTTGGCAGATTTTCGCTTCAATAACTATACCCGAGCCATTTCCAGTTAGGTTAAAGGTCTAACACCATAAAGATGGACACAAATGCTACCATTTTAGCCACGGCCATTCATTACATCTCTGAAAATTTATTCCTAAGTGCTTTCATCTACCTACCGTATTTACTCCCTTTTAACTATTCTATAATTAAATCCAAAAAGCTCCCCTAGCATATAAGGACATACAAATGCCTGGCCAGCTGCACTTTACAAACTCAGACTTCTCTAACATTGCTGCAGCTTTTATTGTATATCGCCCCTTAGCATTTTCCCTACTCACTTTCTTCTTATTGTGCTTCCCAACGTGCCAATGACCACACAAAAAAATCCTTTCAGGAAATGGGTTGCCATTCCCCACGACAGCAAAACCAGGTTCTTTCTCTGTACTTTCAGCAAAGCAACAATCCATGCTGCAACAATGGTTGAAAATCCTGGGGAACAGAACATGTGTTATATAAAAAAAAAATTCCTTGCGGCTTATCCGCAGGTGCTAAGCTATACAGGAGAACCATCTTTATATTCGTTTAACTCGATTACTCAGTGGCTGCAGAACATAATCAATCTTCCACCTGAAGCTTTTACAGCCACTGGTATACTCATATCTTGCATCTTTTATATTTATTGCTTGAAGTGTCTTTCGTTTCTCATACTATAACCTTGTCTATAGATACAACCATCGCTTCCCTTGAAAGCATACCAGTCGGACGACCATGGTGCTTTGTTTTTTTCTGCTCAAATAGGACCAAACAGGTTGGTAAATAAGAATAAACCTGTTTTCCAACTATTCGTTTCTCACATAATAGATTTAACTCTGTTTGTTTCCCCTTCTATAGAAAATCTCTGCTGATCTTTTTGATTCAATTGGATTCCAAGATGACATAACAATTAAAGTGTATCATGGCATACGCTGCTGGAATATTAAAATTAAGGATGGATACTTTGAAGAAGGTTGGGAACTGTACTGTTCAAAGAATTTACTCCACAAGAATGACATGGTCTTCTTTAGAATCAAGGGAAAATTATCCTATGATTCCATGGCTTTCTGCACTTCCCAGTCACATATTCTCATGCCATGGACACTTCCTCTGCCTATGCTTTCAAACATTACATCTAATGTTGAAGCATCTGGTTCCTTGTTGAGACACCAGCCCGATTCATGTACTATCACCTCCTCCATAAATCAGTTTCTGCAGCACGATTGGACATCCTTTGTTTCTTTCTACCAGTTTTATACAAACCGTTCTAAGCACAGCTTGGTAAATACTTTCCTTTATACTATTTATTTACACCTGCATTCTTAGCTGATCTAACAAATGTTTTTTTCCCCTAAAATAGGCCCTTCCACAATTTGCTGACCTTCGGCTACATGAAAACACAACACCAACAGTAATTCTTACAAGCGGCTATAAAACGTATTGCATTGGCATGAAGCAGAGATCCCTCGACAAAAATTGGGCCACTTTCGCAGTCGATCATGCTCTTTGCCCTGGAGACATATTGCTTTTTATTCCACAGTCGGCCACCTCTTTTGCTGTTATCATATTCAACAAAAAAGGCATTGAAAAACTATATCCGTGGCATTTTAATTTCACTGTTCATCTAACTTAGTCCGTGTTGGGTTACTAAGTGCTGCGATAGTCTTTGAGAATAAATTGTAGTTCTGTGTCTTGCTCTATTTTATAGAGCTTTCTTTCTACGGAAATTGTTTCCATTATAAATCTTGTTCTATTCGGCTCCAATCTTCCTAAAGCTCCAGTTTATTACTGCTTATTTTTTTGCTCTTATTTAACCCATATACCAAAAAAAAAACAAAAAACCATTAAAGAAACCCCATATACCAAAAAAAATAACAAAAACCATTAAAAAAAAACCCCCATTAACCTAAGCTAATATATCCTCCTCCATTACTTTCCTTCCACATCATATACTTGCCTGGGCATCTTCTCTTTCTATACCACCGCGCACCGCGCGGTTTATGCCTCCTAGTAGGTATGAAACAGTAACTAAAAGTGGCAAAGTTCGGTTTGGTTGGCTGTATAAGGGCCATGCATTGAATGTTGTTTAGATTTCTGGAATATTTAAACTTTCAAAGCAAGAAGTTGGTAAAATGTTTTTTAATAAGGTTTTCATTCCTACTGTTCCAAGAAGTGTGGAGCAATAGTTTGAGATAACAAGGAAACATTTTAATTCTTGCATGTAACTAAAGATCAAGAAAATTAAAGACTTGAAGCACCTGCTAAAGCATCAAGAAGTGTGGACTTCCCACAGCCAGAAGGACCCATAATGGCTAGAAGTTCACCAGGACGCGCATAGCCAGTGAGCCCTTGAAGGATCACTTTACACCCCTTTTTACCATTAGGAACTCTAACCCACAAATCGTCCCACGTTAGAAACACACCTTTGCTATTTGAGTTGCATTCACCATAATCTAGACCAGCATTTTCCTCTCTATCTTGTTGATCTCCATCCACCTCTAATGGAATCTTGATTTCTGAAACATTGGTATGTGGCGAATTCATCAGCTCATCATCATAATCGTCGTGGCTAAGACGAGGTGGCCGTGTGAGATTTGGAGAAGCCATGCTCAAGTAGTTGCGGGAGCTAGCTAGGAATATTGGAGTTTTGGACCGGTTGAGGTCCTTGAGGATACATTATATAGTAGAGCGAATGGGCAAGAAGGTCACTAAATCATTAAATATGACACAGATCAGTCATAAAACTTTTTTTTATGACCACAAATGTCACTAAACTGACAAAAGGGAGCCGTTGAGGTTATTTCGTCAAATTGTACTAGTAAAACAATTGATAAATCATTGAAATTCAATGACTTTTTTGCCAAAATGACCTTTGGCCACCGATTGTTTTACCGATAGAATTTGACGAAATGGCTTTGCTAGTCCCTTTTGCATGTTTAGTGACCTTTGTGGCTACAAAAAATGTTTAGTGACTAACCCATGCCATACTTATAATTTAGTGACACTTTTGATCATTCACAGACCACTAATGGCATTTATATAGAGTAGAAGAAGTTGATCAATGCGAGTAGGTGTCCCTTTTTTTTAAGCATTTATTGGGCTGGGCAATAAATGATCTATAAGTACGAGAAAAATAAAACTTGGTGCTTGGGTTTATTTTTCTGTTGCACTCAAAAGATGGAATGTCCATGGAGTTTTATCCCAGCATATACCCCGCTGTAAGTTGTAACTTGGGCCAGGATTGAATTTACATTTGATTGAGATTATACTTTTTTGCACGAGTATTTTTAATAGCTAGATAAAAAAAAAAGAAAAAGAACCATGAATAGTTTCAAATAGAATTGCAGTTTTGGTTCCTAAAATTTTGCACGCGTTCGAAATTGATTCTCAATTTTTCGACCAAAACAAATCTAGTTTCCAAAGTCTGTGATTATACATAAATTTAAACAATTAATGGAGATGGAATAATAACCAACGATCAACAGTAAATTGTCGTTAGAAAAAAAAAGTTTAATTAGAATTATTATTATCCATTTAATACTATTTCATTCTAATTTCATCTTAATTCATGTTAGAACTCTTAATATCACTATTTAAAAATTACAAAATTATAACGATTCAAATCAAAACATTTGGGATCAAAAGTGCAAAGTCAAAGTTGTTGACTAGTGGCAATTTGATATTATTGACCCTTAGTCATTGTTTCATATTCATTAGTTGTCCTAAATCTGTTTAAAATCATGAACTTTGGGAATTAGATTTGTTTTGGCCGAAACATTGAGAATCAATATGATACACAAGCTAAACTAAACGTGGAGGACCAAAATTGTAATTCTCCTTAATTATTGGTTACCATTATAAATATTGAGACCCATTATTCACCTTTGGAAGTACAAACTCTCGAAGTTTTACATTTTCAACATAATTAATCTTTAAGAATCTTGCACGAAACATAATGAATCTCTGACATTTAAGATGAAGTAATCTTGCACGAAACTTTTTTGGTATGCGTCTCACTAGGAATAAATGAAAGATGATGACCCATTTTTTCTCGGGAAAGCAAACTAAGCAGTAATGAAAACGAAAAAAATCATCACGTTCAGAAGCAGCCACGATTGGGATAAGAAAACAACTTTCCTAACCAATGAATTAAAGACTTCCACAGGTCTATCACCTCACTGGCTATTATAAAAAACAAAAAAAAAAAAAATCTCTGGTTCTTGTCCAAATGAGTTTGCATGGTCCTTTCAAGGGAAAATGAAACTCAGATTATGCAATGAATATGTCTTACTTGGATGGGTAGGAGTCCTAGCCTGGAAGATGTAACTCAGTTCGTGGTCCTGCAAATGCTTCGTCATTGGATGGATCCATCTTCAATAACGACCCTAGTTTTACTTCAATTTCAGTACATCAAATCGCATTAAACAGCCCTTGGAAACGGCGATAGCTTCACAGCTCCATCGTTTTCCTCATTAACTAGCTATTTGGTACGCGTGAATATTTGATGATTAATGTTGAGAGATATCCTTTGTAGCTAGTAAGGTTAGTTCTGTTCAATTTCTGTCCAGTTGAAAAAGATCAGTACTTTTTCATTATGTAGTAGTGAGATATCCAGAA